GGAGGATAGTTAGGTGGTAGAGGTCCCCTTGATTCAATCCTTAGTACTAAAAAATAAAAATAAATAAGTAGAATCTGCAGTAACAGTTTGTCAGGATCTGTCAATATGTATAAACCATACATGGCCTTTGAACCAGGAATTCTGTTTTTAGAATTGTGAATGTACACCTAATTTATTGTAGCATTGTTAAAATGGCAGAATTCAAATGTTAATCAGTAGGGAATCTCAGAATGAATTCTGATATATTATGTCATCATACAAATTAATGAAGAAATTTTTTATTACTACTATGGTCAAATGCCCAAGATATATTAATTAAAAATTGCAAGATGCAGTGAATAATGTGTTATGTGCATATATATGTGTATAATTGCTTTTATTTAAATATCTCTTGACGAGATAGGTAAAAATGTTTAGGGATGAATGAAAGTGTGACTTGAATCTTGAACTGTGTGTATATAAGAACTATTTGAAATATAAATATAAATGAAATTAACAGGAAAGAATAGGAGTGACCAATAGTTTGATGTCACAAAGAGGGCTATTCCATTTGGCAATTAAAAATGCTGATCTTGCTGGGCGTGATCATGCACGCGTGTAATCCCAGTGGCTCAGGAGGCTGAGACAGGAGGTTTGAGAGTTCAAAGCTAGCCTCAGCAATAGTAAGGCACTAAGCAACTCAGTGAGACCCTATCTCTAGATGAAATACAAAAAAGGGGGTGTGTGCAGCTCAGTGGTTGAGTGCCTCAAGAGTTCAATCCCTGGTACCAAAAAAAAATTGTTGACATGGAATAATGTTCGGACAATAATTGTTTTTAAAAATTAAATAAAACAACATATAGCATGATCCCAATTTTATACAACATGAATTCATAGAGAAAGGAAATTTTTTAAACTAAAACATCAATAGCTAGTATTTAGGGCTGGGGATGTGGCTCAAGCGGTAGCACGATCGCCTAGCATGCGTGCGGCCCGGGTTCGATCCTCAGCACCACATACAAAGGAAGATGTTGTGTCCGCCGAGAACTAAGAAAAAACAAATAAATGTTGAAATTCTCTCTCTCTGTCCCCCTCTCACTCTCTCTTTAAAAGATAAATAAATAAATAAATAAAGGCCACAGTGCAAATATTATAAAAAAAAAATAGCTAGTATTTATAGGCTGTGTGGGATAACACTGATATGAGTCTGTGAGTTTCTGTTATATTTCCTGTTTATACTGCGTTTATAATAATACAGGACTTCTTTTTTTCTTATAGCGCAAATACCCAATAGATTTTCTATCCTAAAATCTTTTTTACTTTAAGAAATTGAGTTTTGTTTTCTAAACCTTTACTGTCTCTTGACTTCACCATCTCTAAAAGTTGGCTTAACTTTGTTGTTGTTGTGCTAAGAATTGAACCCATGGCCTTGTGCGTGTGAAGTGAGATAGGGAATTGAAAACCACCATTATGTTTGGCTTCAGTTTTCATCTGTAAATTGTAGGGCAGTCCTATTTTCTGAGAATGAGCTGGAGTAGAGATGAGGTAAAAAGAAATGAAAAAACAAAACCTTCATCATTGGTATGGGGAATACAAGAAATATATAATTATGGAGAAATAAAAGCTGAGCTGATTGAAAACCAAACATAATTGGAAGATAAAAATACAGAGTATGCATTGCCAGACATAGCCTTAAAGAGGTGTACATTCTCAGTAGTGAACTACTGATTTTTTTTTTTGGTACTTGGGACTGAACCCAGGGGCTCTGAACCACCCACTGAGCCACATTCCCAACCTTTTTTTTTTTTTTGAGACAGGGTCTCCCTAAGTTGCCAAGGCTGGCTTTGAACTTGCAAATCCACCTTGCCTCAGCTTCTCAAGCTTCTAGGATTAACAGTTGTGTGCCAACACACCTGGTGAAAATCTACCTTTTTTTTTAAAGATTGAATAGATTTTAGATTTTAACAATTACTTTTCAGCCTGAAGGTAAAAGTATTATAGTTAATTTTGACTTGAAATTATTTTGTATTTAAACAGGAAGGATTGTGATAAGTATGTTTATCGTATGCAAAAAAATCATAAAAGTAATGGTGGCATTGTCTGGGGCAATGTTAAGAAAAAAAGGGTAAGTATTTTTATTATTTTATCCAACATTTATCTATAGAACCCTGTAAGATATGACATATTATAATAGCTATATAATAGTCCATGTGAAATAACTACTGTAAGATTACAGATGGAAGCTCATAGATCAAACATTTGACCAAGGTAAGAATGAGTAAAAAGAGTTACCAGGGAATAATCAGACTAATTAAATCATGATTTTTATAGAAGACATTTCATCAGCTTCCATGCAGCTTTAAAATAATCTTCAGATGGTTTTCAGATTCATCTACTTAATGATAACCAGACATAAGAAGCAAGATTTTAGAAAAGCTAATTCACTTCAAATTTCCTCAAAGCTAATCGTGCAGACTAATTTATGGGGACAGGAAATTCATACCCTAAAAGTACTCCTTTTCTTCCCTAACTTAACTTGAAATGTTTATGCTGCATACTGGCTAGAATATAATTCCTCTCTCAGAGTCTCTAAATATTGGCATTACATAATCACATCCATGTTCCTGGACTTCACTTATACACAGGAAATAGTAAGTATTTCACTGGGACCTTGCTTTAAAATCAGTCTGGAGACTCTTGTTCTTTCAAAGAAATTTGAACTCCATAAATGAACTAGATAGACTCCTTAGTGATCCTTAAGATTCCCTTTCTACAGTCCCACAATTCTTACGGGGAGAAAGCCATGGAATGAATGGGAGTCTAAAGATTTGACTCAACCAGGCATTGTGGCACACACCTGTGATTCCAGTGGCTTATGAGGATCATGAGTTCAAAGCCAGCCTCAGCAACTTAGTGAGCTGCTAAGCAACTCAATGAGACCCTCTCTAAATAAAATACAAAATAGGGCTGGGATGTGACTCAATGGTTAAGTGTAAGATTTGTCTTTTTTTCCAGTAAACTGGTTCTTGCTAAGTTCCCCAATCCAGTGCTTCTCGTGTGTGTGCACAAAGAGTGCCAATTTTAGCTAGTACTATGAAAATGCACTTAAAATTTTGCATATGTTACCACCATTTTAAGCCAAGACTTTGAGGTAGGGGAACTAATACTTTGATAGTATAATGTTTTCCAAATATGGACTTTTTTTTTTTACTATAGTCAGTTATTTGATTATGAAAAAATATATTTTTACTAGCCAAGGATTTTAATTATTTAAATGAAATAAATATTTCAATATTGGCTTTTAGAAGCATATATAGAGTATCCTTTAGCCATTGTAGCATTAGTTTGTAATGTTTTCTTACAGTAATGTTTGCCAACAGTGAGAAACAATATCCAACAAGTTGTGATTTTTGCCCTGGATGAATGAAATAAAATTAGGCTTTTGACAAATAACTATCAAGCATTTTAACTGTTATACTGTGTATTAAGCATACTTAATTTTCTCTAGGCTTGAAAGTAGGTACCACTTAACTATAAATGTGAACTCTTTTATAGGTTGAAACTAATTTCTCAACTCCAACATCAAGAAAAACCCTGTTTAACCAAGGTAATTTATTTATTTTGTAAATAAGGCATCTATTATTTGGCAATATTTATTTAAACAATCCTGAAATTGTTGTTAGTTCCTTACACTTTTTCAATTTTCACTAAAATTACTTGGATATGTATTAATCCTTTTTATTAAATATCTCCTTACAGACTTAGGAGACACATCTGGTATTGGAAAACTTTTAACTAATGCTATGGAACCTTCAGATGAAGAAGAGAAAGATGATTATTTTTCAAATTCTGATTCTGAATAGTAAAAATGAGAATGATTTAATAATTTTTATCATAAAGCAGACAGTATATTTGTATCTCCATTGGGTGAATAAGCATTTTTTCATAATGTAGCTTCATATGAAAATATGGATTTTTTTCCCCAAAGGTTTCATGTTTGTATTAAAATATCCTGTCAAATATTCCTCATTGCTGCAGGTTGTTTACACAGCTATATATTTGTGTTTTGTAATATTAAAATATAGTTTTAAGTTTCTTATAAGCATCTAAGTCTGTTTACTTTACTTTAATGATTTAATAAAATCATGTCCCAAATAACACTTTTTAAAGTCTTGCTACCCTAAAAAGGGGAGGTGGGGAGATGAAAGAAGTTGGATTAATGACTTCTGAATTCATGAAAAATTACAGCATTTGTCACCACCAAAGTTGATTTAATGTTTAAATTATGCATTGTTGAAACTATTTAACGTTTCTCTCATTTCTCATGATCTCCCTATGAAACCAATGCAACTTTAATTTATTGATTTTTAAATATTTTACTAGAGAACAGATGCTACTGCATTCTACCACCCTGCTTTCATTTGCAGACATACAGGTTAACAGATCCACCATTATAAGGAGCCAAGTTAATGAATATTATGTCATAGTAAACATCCTTTCTTTTACTTACAGCTCTTTAGAAATAACATTTTAGCATAATTCTGTCATTATGTTTCAGAATTTGACATAAAAATATTTTCTTTCTGGTTATAGTACACATTCATTCCTAACTATTCAAATAAAGTTAGTCTTTATAGTATTTGTTTCCAGGTTGTTTTTATTTTTGTTTTATTGACTGATCAGAGAAAGAAAACAAATACACATTTTGTTAAGGGTGCTGATTAAGTTTCTTAGTAGTAGAAGTTTTTCTACTTGAGCATTTCTAAAAAGTTTACTTGGGGGCTGGGGTTGTGGCTCAGTGGTAGAGCACTTCCCTAGCATGCATGAGGCAACTGGGTTCGACTCTTGGCACCACATATAAATAAATGAATAAAATAAAGGCCCATCAACGTCTAAAAAGAAAATTTTAAAAAGATTACTTAAAAAATAGCATGATTAGACTACCCTTCTTCTTTAAACTACTATGATTATTTCCATTCCCACAACCCTTAGTAGATATAGGATGGAATAAAGGAAAGGAAAGATATAAAAGGTTTGTTTTATTAGAGTGGCCCTAAAAAAAATACCATTTACAAGTTAGATGCCAATATTTGACATTACATTACATTCTGCTGCTTAAATTTACGGTAGTATATTGGAAGTTAAGAAATCCATGACACACAAAAGTATTTTATAACATTAAGTCAAATCTAATAACAAAAAATTGTGGAATGGCATATACTTGACCCAGAACACAAGTCTTACTCTCAGTGCTCATATTCCCTATGTCCAGTCTATAAACTCCTTCAGTGTCCTTTTCTACTTTGGTGGTCTTTTTTTCTTTTTCTTTCTTTTTTTTTTTTTTGGTATCCTACCCTCTCAGGTTCCTGGTAGTCCCATTTCTATTAGGTCATAAAGTAAATTAATAATGTTTAAGGTAAGATAAGAAACCTCTGAAGAAAACAAAGCAAAAATGCAAAAGACTTTAAAAGGCTCAAGGATTAAAATAATAAGATAGATTAGTAATCAAAAAGATGAATAGTAAAGGGACACAAATGAGGCTGCTGCTTATTAGTTCTTCTAGACTTGACTTTTTAAGAGTCTAATTTATATTCAAAATAAAAACAAAGTCTTAAGTTAATAACATCACAAATATAATGGGTGAAAACCAAATATATTCAATCTTGTTCAAAAAAATTTTTCCAGCCAGGTACTATGACATACACCTGTAATCCCATGGACTTGGGAGGGGAGGCCGAGTCAGGAGAATTGCAAGTTTGAGATACTGTCTCTAAATAAAAAGATACGGGGATGTAGCTCAGTGGTTGAATGTTCCTAAGTTCAATCCCTAGTACCATACATACATGGAGGAAAAAAAAGTGTCGCTTTTTTCTATTCTATATAAATCTAAAGATAAACCTCCCTAAGCAATTTGGTGAAAATTTGTCTCAAAATAACGGGGGTAGGGGATTTAGCTCAGTGGTAAAGTAGCCCTCGGTTCAATCCCTAGGGAAATCCACCCCCCTCACACACACAAGAAATACTAAATTCAAACTCTTATGCCACTTAGAATATATTTCAACAACAAAAGTAATAGTTTGGAGTCCATATTATTAGGACTTGAATATACTTGACTTGTATATATCTTTAGTGGAGGTGACATTCAGTTAAAAAATTTTAAATTTATTCTAATTTGTTATATATGACAGAAGAATGTGATTCAATTCATGGTACACATATAGACACAATTTTTCATGTCTGATTATACACAAAGTAGAGCCACACCATTTGTGTCTTCATACATTTAGTTAAGATAATGATGTCCACCTCATTCCACTGTCTTTCCTACCCCGATTCCTCTTCCCTTCCCCTCCATCCCTTGCCCTATCTAAATTTTCTACTTTCCTAGTGACTGGGTTATTGATCTGACAAGACACCTACCACTTAATCCTTATCAATATATATGTTTAGATTCAGTACATTTAAAATATTGGCAATATTATAGTTCATATATAGGAATAATGGTTTGTGACCACTAAGTTGGCAGTAGGCATGGATACTATTCATGCTAAGAAATAACAATGACAATACATCTTGCAGGGAAAATCCCAGAACACATCTCACTCAGCTTTTATTTTCTCCTCAATAGTACTTGTAACAAAACATTGATTTATTAAATAAAGAAATTAATTCCATAATCTAGTCAAAATATTTACTAAGCATTAAAGAATTTCTTTTAAAATAATTTGTAATCTACATAAATAAAAATGTACACAAAATATCTTTAAGTGATAAGGAAATATTCTGTTACATATTTTAAACTGGCACAAACCATAGCAATGATTACTGAAGTGCATTTAGAATTGTGAGAATACAATAACTTCATCTTGAGTAGTCTCTGATCATGTATCATATTTCAATCTATCTTTAAGATCATTTGGTAACATTTCCGTATCAAATATGTAGTGAACATATCTATAGATCTCCTCAGCTTTTTGATGAGTCACTTGTGCACAGGTGGAGATTTCTTGAGGTGAGCTGAAAAATAAATGGGACAAAAACATTATACTATAACTTTTGGTTTTTATAAAATTTAATATTCTTACCTTACCTAAAGAATACCAAATAGCATTTAAGAAAAATCACATCTTCCTGAGCATTACACATGCAGCTGATAAGTCTTTAGCATTAGTTAAATAAAACAAAAACATTTCATTTATATAAAATCATCTGCTTTACAACTGAATATTTATTATCTCCCCAAAATTCATGTGATGGAACTCTGATCCCAAATTGATGGTGCTGGTTTCTGTCTCCTCCTACTACTACCACCCCCAAAAAAGGTTCATGTGTAGAGAACTTGGTCCTCCAGGCAGCAGTTCTGGAAGATGGTAAGGACCTTTAAGAGGTGGGGCCTAGTGGGAGAAGTTTAGATTCCTGGAGGCAGCACACTGCCTTTGGCAGAGATTGTAGGATCCCTGTTTCTCTCCCTGTACCTGGTTTGATAAAATCAAGTGCTCCTGCCTTTGCTATCCACTCCATGAGGTAACACAGAATCACTACAGAGCCTTTGCTGTGCTTGTTGAACTTTCAATCTCCAAAATGGGCTAAACAAACCCTTCTGTGCCAGTTACTTCATTAGCATAACAGTGGGATGACTTAACACAGATCATATTTGGAGGTGGGGACTATGGGAGGTAAGTTGATCATAAGAGTCCTCAGCACCCTTTTAAAAGAGGCACCAGCTAACTCTGCTTCTACCCTGAGAGAATACAGGAAGTCAGTAGACTGCAACCCAGAAGAGAGGGCCTTTGCCAAAACCCAACCATGTTGCCACCTAGACTTCAGACTTCTAGCCTGTAGAACTCTTTATAAGTCAGCCAATAAGTGTATGGGATTATAGCAGCCCAAATTAACTAAGACACCATACCTCCTATGGACCTTTAATTAAAATAAACTTACGTTCTAATATATCCTTCTGCAAGCAATATAATAATCAAAAACCAGGCTACGGGTATGGTTCAATGAAAAAGTACTTGTCTAGCATGCACAAAGTCCTGGGATTGATCCTTGGCACTTTAAAACAAGCAAAACTAGTATAATTCTCAACTTGAATGTTCTAGTTACAGAACTGAATGGCCCAGAAATCTTAGAATGCAAGGTCAAACTATTGTCTATCTCCCCATAGAGCTCTAAGCACCTTGAAGGCAAGGCCTACTCCCCCCCTGCCCCCAATTAGTGTCTCATCTTCATGAATTAACCAATACTTGGTACCAGTTAACAGGCAAAAACAAAATAAAACAACAACAACAAAAAAAAAAAAAACAGTTTATTAATGGTCACTGAGTCTTTTTTGAAAATATTAAAATTCTATGAAATGCTTCTAAGAATCATTTAAAAGTAATCATTATAAAATGTTACAAAAATAGACATACCTGTTAGCCATCTCTTGCACAGATGTAAATTGGTGACACATATTTAATGCAGTTATATAACTTATATTGGGAATACTTAAATAAAATTGAAGTGCCTCACATTTACTACTGTTTACCACTGTTGGAACATGAATACCAACATTCTTTCTTTGTTCCACTAAAGACAATTCCTTTAGCAAATCTGCAGTTTCTTCTTGGCAGGAACTGAAAAGAATTCGAATTCCAGCACCAATTAAGGTGGTCAGCAGACTGTCATAACTCTTTGTTCTCTTGAACATCCTTGATGTGTCTCCTAAATATTTCATGTTTAGGAAAATATAAACTTTAGTAACTAACACTAAGTAGAATCATTAATTTATAATTTTTAAATACCAAGATCTAGAGCATTGAACAAACTAGTGCTACATTCTACTAATGAGAAACTGACAGCAAACGTTTTAAAGTGACTCTCTAATATCTAAGAGATATTAAGGAGAACTTCAACTGAAATCAACATAGGAAGGTGAAAATATAAAAGAGAATTTATATTTCTAGATAATTCACTTTTGAAGACCAAGGCTATATTATTAATTTCTTATTGCTGGCATAGATGAAGGGCTCCTTAATTATTGGTTTAACTAATATAAAAAAATTATCTCATGTACTTATTCCAAAGGTGTACTTATTCCAAAGGTAAATTCCAAAGGCCCATTTTAATGTTACTTCATCATTAATTTATTAGCCTAACATTCTTGTTCATTTTCTTTTCCATATTCTAGTTACAACCTGTTTTTGGCATTCCCCACTTATGCCCACCAAATTTATACCAGTTGGCCAGTTAACCAAGAAGCTGGTTATACAATTTTTTTCTATGTTACTTTCTCTCTGTTCTAAATCTAATTCCTTTATCCCTCACTTGTTGAATTAAAAAGGAAAAAAAAAACCTTAATTTAACTGAAAGATAACATTTACTTATCACTGGTCACATGGTTCACCAGTGATAGTATGGGGGATGAAACAGTTGCCTAATTCTCAAATCAATGTTTTACATAAACTATACTATTTAGTTTTATGTGTAAGTCTTCAATTTGTCCATAATGGCTTTTGCCTACATGATTTCACTTAATGCTCATAATATGATAAAATGAGTGTTACAAGTATATGGTTAATACTTACTCATCAGAGGGAGTGATCTATCAAGGTAACAAACATCACATAGCTATAAAGAAGCTGGATTTCGTTTGTTCTGTTTTTGTTTTTTTTTAGCAATGTTGGTGATCAAATCCAGTGCCTCAGGAATGCCAAGCAAATGCTCCACTACTGAGCCACATCCCCATCAAGAAACTTGAAATCAATACATCTAGATTCCATTTCTTTTGGTCTTTTCACTATTCTCTGGAACTCCCCATACATACAATTAAATAATAACCACAGAAATTCCCTAATTTGTAACTCCAATTTGACATTTCCAAATTTATCTTAGCACCCATTTCAATGATCAATTGCAAAGTTAATCTTCATGTTCATTCAAAGTTGAGTTCTTGAGCAGTTAAATCTGCTGCTTTTCTTATAATCATATTGCAATAAACAGCACCATTACCTAACTGGCCAGTAACTAGGAAGTTGGTCAAGAAATAGTAATTCTCAACTCTTCCAACCAACTCCTACAAATCCTGACTCTTAAGCATCTCTTTGATCCTACTTCTGTTCTCCATTGCTGCTTTATTTAAGGCCCTCCTCTCTTGGATTCTTGAAGTCATGATTGACTTTACTTGCCTTCAGTTCTCATAGGTTTCATTTAATTACAACAACTGATGATAAACATAATGGCATTAAAATGTGAAATGACATTCATCGAGTTAAGTATTTATATTTTAAGAGTTTTCTATTGCTTGACAGTAGAATAATAAAATAGTCAAGTTCCTATTCAGGCTCCTAAACAAATATTTTAAAACACAAACCTGTTTTTTCTCTGTCTTTTTCCACAATCACACATATTCTTTCAAACATGTTCTGTAGGTGCTGGATCTGCTCGATGAGCTTGTTCTTATTGACAGTATTTAACATCTCAGATTGAGACTTCCTTTCCACCACCATGCGATTACTCACAATGTAATCACAGCCATTAAGAGGACATACCTCTACTTGAAACCCATGGATTGCTCTTAAAAAAGAAATAACTTCTACACCAGAAGTGATTTCACGACTGTCTACAAGAATACAGGTTCTTTTTCCTTCCTGTGGAATTTTAAGAGAACTATGAATCTCAGTCAAATGTGGTCTTGAACTGAAACCATATGAAATTCTAGAATCCTGCAAAGTACTACAAACCTGAAAGAAGAGAAAACACTGATCACAATCTGGTTAAATATGTATTAGTGTCACAGACTTTTCACACCTCATGCTGATTCTTCTTACTGATAATGTTCAGGTCTTTTCCTTCAACAAGTCTAATGTGACTGTAATTAAAGAACAAGTCCCCATTTTTACAACTCAAAAAATATCATAAGGCTATAATTAAAAACAAAAGCCAAGAGCAATAAGATGTAATTAAAGTAGGAGAAAGTCTAAACAATGAATAGGAAAGGAAAATAAGTTTTTAAAAGTAAAGTTGTTCTAAATTTTAGCCTAGCTAGAGATTTTTTTTAAAAAAATGATTAAATAATAACCTGAAAGCAGATTTGAGTTTATCTCAAATAATAAGAAAATTAGACAAGATATCATTGAAAAATAACTGGGAGATTTTGATAACCAAAAAGTGTCTTCAACTGAAAACAATTAAATCTCCTAAATAACATTGTTTTGTTTTAGTGCTGTGCTGGGTAAAGAACCCAAGGCTTCATATGCTAGGCAAGTACAATGCCACTGAGCTAAATTCTAAATAACATATTTTAAAAGATAATTAAGGGCTAGAGATGAAGGCTCATTGGTAGAGCACATGCATAGTATGCTTGAGGTCCTGGGTTCAATCCCCAGCACTGGGGGGAAAAAAATTAAAATGCTTAACTGGCTGAAAAGCAAGTAAGAAAAGCACAGAAGTCAAAAACAAAAGTTAGGCTGGGCACAGTGGCACACACCTGTAATCCCAGCAGCTGAGGATGCTGAGGCAGGAGGATCCCAAGTTCTTTTTTTTTTTTTTTTTTTTTATTAAGAGAGAGAGAGAGAATTTTAATATTTATTTTTTAGTTATCAGCGGACACAACATCTTTGTTGGTATGTGGTGCTGAGGATCAAACCCGGGTTGTACGCATGCCAGATGAGCGCACTACAGCTTGAGCCACATCCCCAGCCCGGATCCCAAGTTCAAAGCCAGTCTCAGCAATGGTGAGGTGCTAAGCAACTCAGTGAGATCTTGTCTTTAAATAAAATACAAAACAGGACTGCGGACGTGGTTCAGTGGTGGAATGCCCAAATTCAATCCCCAATACCAAGAAAAAAAAAAAAGGAGTTCTACAAGTTGATTAAGGCAGAACAAACCCAGATTCCCTTAGAAAAATTCTACCAAATCCTGTGGACCATTACCTTTTCTTTTCAGAGACACTACATGAAAAAGATGCATAGTACTAGCTGTCCAAACACCTACCCAAAACACAGTTAAACAGTATAAATGCTTAATAAGAAATAAAATCTATTCCACAAAAGCAGAAAGAAAAAAACAGTCAATCTTGACATCTGAAAAGGAGGGGAAAATCGTATCCTATCAGAATCAGTAGTCACAAACTAGCCCTTCAGTCCTGTGAGCCTGTACCAAAATCCTGTACACAATACACACAAACCTCAAACAATTTAAAATGCGCTCAGAAAAGAAATGCAGGGGCTGAGGTTGTAGCTCAGTGGTATGTCACTTGCCTAGCACTGGTGAGGCTCTGGTTCTATCCTTAGCACCATATAAAAATAAATAAAATAAAGGGCTGGGTGTAGTGATGCATGCCTGTAATCCCAGAAACTCAGGAGACTGAGACAGGAAAGATTGCAAGTTCAAAGCCTTTAGCAATTTAGCAAGCACCTAGCTAATTTACTAAGACCCTGTCTCAAATTAAAAAAAAAAATAAAAAATGAGGGCTGGGGTGGTAACTCTGTGGTACAGTACTTGCCTAGCACATGAGAGGCACTGGGTTTGATCCTCAGCACCACATCAAATAAATAAATACACATACTATGAAAATGGTGCTATAATAAGAAAAATGACAACTTGAAATGACACATGAAAACACCATTTCTCACTATATTGATAACATTCTCTATTAATGAGGATCTGGAAGAATCAGGAACTCTTTTACATTGCTGGTAGAAAGGAAAAAAAAAAAACAAACAGTAAAACCCCAATGGAGAAGTTAGCAATATCTGGCACCATTATACCTGCATTTACCTTTTCAGAAACCTCATTTCCAAGAATCCACCCCAAAGCAGTACTGTCAGAATACAAGAAGATATACACACAGCTATTTGATACAGGAGAATTTACAAGAGTGAAAGATTAGAAACAACCTAAAAATGAGCTGCTAAATAATAAAGGACTATGCAAGTATATAGAGTAATAAGGAAATATATCTATATATTACTATAAAGTAAATCCTAGGATATAGATATATTTTTTAAATATTTATTTATTTATTTTAGTTCTCAGCGGGCGAACACAACATCTTTTGTTTGTATGTGGTGCTGAGGTTCGAACTCGGGCCGCACGCATGCCAGGCGAGCGCGCTACCGCTTGAGCCACATCCCCAGCCCTAGGATATATATATTTAAGTGAAAAAACAAGGTGGGGAAAAATGAATGCTATCATCTATTTAAAGGAGATTCATATATAATATTTCAAAAAATGGAAAAACAAATACATATATTTATAATATTACATATTATGTATATATATATATTTATAAAATAAAAAATATTTATGTTTGAGGTGGGGTTGTGGCTCAATGGTGGAATGCTTACCTGGCATGTGTAAGGCACTGGGTTTGATCCTTAGCACCACATAATAATTAAAATAAATGTAGTATGTCCATCTACAACCAAAAAAAATTTAAAATATGTATATTTAATATACATACTTAAATATTACAGTTGTACAAGGGAGAAAACAGGGTGAAAGGCACACAAGCACAAGCAAGACTTCTTTGTATATGCTTTCTCAAAATAAAAAATGACTAGTGATGGAACTCTGCAATAAAATGCACCTGGGGTTCAACTCCCAAATACAAAAAAAAAAAAAAATCAAAGACTACCAGGGGCCTATCAAAGCACTTAGGAGATATGTGGAAGAAGGGTCTCAATGGCCAAATTTGGGACATCAAAACAACCTGTAATGGTTGAAAGTTCATGAGTCTATAATGTTAAAAAAATACATAAACTACTGAGAGATGCTGGTAAAGAAACTATTGTTCTAACACTGAAGGGGAAGTATCTAGTACTGAGCCTTCCTTTCCTTTACAAACTATACTACAAGGCCAAACAGAAGACTCAAATTACTAAAAGTAGCAACAAACGGGGATATTACTTCAAGTTTTATAGAACTAAAAAGGATTATAAAAGAATACAATGAAAATAACATATGCCAACTGGAGCTAGCGATGTGGCTCAAGTGGTAGTGCGCTCGCCCAGTATGCATAAGGCACTGGGTTCGATTCTCAACACCATGTAAAAATAAAGATATTGTGTTCACCTAAAACTAAAAAAATAAAATATTTTAAAAAAGAAAATAACATATGCCAACAAATTGGATGATTTATATGATAATGGACAAACTCCTAGAAACACATACATTGATGGAACTGATGCAAGAACAAACAGAGGGGGGAAAAAAAGAATAAACAGAACATCTGACTGGATCAATAGAAGGGGAGATTAAATTAGTAACTTAAAAAACTTCTCAACAAAGAAAAGTCTAGAAGCAGATGGCTTTGTTGATTAATTCTACCAAACATTTAAAGAAGAATTAACACCAATCTTTTTAAACCTTTCCCAAAAAATAAGAGAAAGGACTTCTTAATTTATTCTATTAAGTCTGCACGATCCTAATACGGAAGCCAGACAAAGATACTATATGAAACCACAGATCAGAATTTCTTCAGAATATTAATGCAAAATCCTCATCAAAATACTATCAAATCAAATTCAGAAGCTTTTTAAAAGAATTATACTCCATGAACAAGGAAGATTTATACTAGTAAGGCAAAGGTAGTTCAATATATGAAAATCAATATACCACATTAATAGAATGAAGGACACACCCACAATCATCTCAATTGATACATTACAAGTCTTTGGCAATATCTAACATCTTTTCTTGATAAAAATACTCGAAACCAGGAATAGAAGGTAACTTCCACACATAGATATTATGGCCACTTATGATAAGCCCACACCAAACATCATGCAGCTTTTCTCTTACAGCTAACAAGACAAGGATGCTCACTCTTGACATTTCTATTAACATGGAACTGGAAGTTCTAGCCAAAGCAATCAAGCAAAGGGAAAAAAAAAATCCAAATTGGAAAATAACATGTAAACTACCTCAAATCACATGACTTTAGGTAGTGACATCATCTTATGTATAGAAAACCCCAAAGAGTATCCCCCAGTGGCTTAAAGTTTGGTTTCGTTTGGTGCCTCTTCCACAGTAACTGCTGCTCACTTCCCAAAGGCCTGCACCAGGAAGGATTCTCAACTGAAATCTATGGAATTAAAAAGTGGTTGCAAATCCTCCTTGTGTTCACACCTCACAGAAATTCTAAATGCTAATGCAAATGCATTGCCTTTTGCAATCCATTAATTTGTTAGCTGACTTCTTACTAGATTTAATGGTATTCCATAATTACCCCAAACCTGCAAGTCTGTCTTTAGGTCTACCTGCCCTTCCTCATATATCAGCCTAAAATGGTTGTCTTACAGCTTTGTACTGGTTTCAAGAAAAATTGATTTTATAGTTCATATAGCTTTTTGTTGTCAGTATAAGGGTGGGAGAGCAACACTCTTTCTGGCTTTTTATATCCTCAACTAAGATAGACATATTAATCACTCAGAAATAATCTTTAAAATATGTTTAATATTTAATTTCAGAAAGTATAAAAATAAATGTAATGAAGAATTGGCCTCTAGAGAACTGAAAGAAAATATTGGAAGTATTTAATTATCTTAGAGTAAGTATGGTTTTCTAAAAATGACTGTGAAGACATGAAGTAAAAAGGAAAAAAATAGGAACTACATAAAAAAAGAAGCTAAGCACTTTCTTGTTCCCCAGTCTAGTCCAAGGATTTACTCTAGTCAATTTAATCTTAATTATGCCAAAAGAACACTAAAAACAAAAGGCAAATGCAGACAAGGAATAC